GGGTGTACTTCCAGAACACTCACGAAGAGATCGTCAACACTCTGGAGTCGGGCATCAAAGCAATGCTCGCGAAGTTCTATGAGGTTAACAAAAGCCTTCCCCAACGCATCTTCGTCTACAGGGATGGCGTGAGTGACGGCCAGTTGGGAACCGTTAAGGACTACGAAGTCGTGCAACTGCTGAACGCTCTGCAGGACTTCGGCGCCGCCTACAATAACTACGTCCCGCAGGTGTCGTATATTGTGGTCCAGAAGCGCATAAACGCTAAACTTTTGATGAAAAGGGGCGCCGAACTGGACAACCCTCCGCCCGGCTCTGTCGTCGACCACTCCATCACTCGTAATAACTATTACGACTTTTATCTGATCTCACAATACGTGACTCAGGGAACCGTCACTCCCACCCACTATATCGTGGTGCACGACACCAATGCCATGCCTCCCGACCGGATGCAGAAGATTGCCTATAAGATGACTCACCTCTACTACAACTGGTTCGGCACTATCCGAGTGCCCGCTCCCTGTCAGGTATGGCTTGTATTCGGGTTTTATTATGTATTAAATGTGTTGTTAATTGTGTTTTTGTGTATTGAATAGTACGCCCACAAGGCGGCCAATATGGTCGGGCAGGTCATCAAGAAGTCACCGGCGGAAGTGCTCGCAGACAAGTTATACTTCCTTTGAACACACACTCGAGTCCAACATTTTTTTGTCATTTTATTATCGTTTCATTTATAATTTTCCTCGAATTAAATATTTAAGAATATTTTTGTCGATTATTTTTAAAAAGTCAAATTCAGAGCTATTTTTTAGTTGTTACTTTTTACATAAATGCATACATTATAATCACTTAATACTTGTGCCAATTATCGATAATACAAATATTTGTTTTATTTTGATGTTTCAGTTAATTTTTATGATAAAAATTGAGAATTTTATTGCAATCAAAATTGTTTTAAGAAAAAAATTGTTAAGTTTTTTTTGGAGATTTGAATTTCACACATCTATTTATCGTTGTTAGGATCATTATGAATCAATATGTGATTGCAATAGAGTCTTGTGAATCCGTTTAATGTACGGCACGTTTTCTATAATTACTTTTTTGATACATTTTGATAAATATTTACCAAAGATTTGGTGTTGATTTAAAGTTTTGTATTTTATTTCGATTTATTCCAATTACAATAACATTTCGTAAAATATGTTTTTTGGTCATTTAAACATAAATATAATTTGTTTAAACTCTGATAATTGTTTTGCAATATAAAACATCTCCAAAATGTAAAACTTTTCGACACTTGTAATTACGATTGTATTAACACATTATTACTGAAGTTTCTAATAAAAATGAATTATCAAAACAAATGAATCGTTAGAATATTTTCAATAGTTGTTGTGAAACTTGAGAGAAATGACAGATTTGTTTGAAATGATAAATCTTTGGTCGAAATATTTTCGCACAATTCTAGCGATTACTTAGAATTTGGAGAATATTTAATAAATTACTGGATTTGTGTGCATTTTAAATACGCCATAAAACACAACAAATCGTCTCATTTTGTATAAATTAAAATAAATTAAAGCTTTTGAAACGTTTGTCAAATAATCATTTCTCTGAAGTTTGACATTTAATGTAGAATTCCTGGTGTCTGCAGAGGGAAAGGGAGGTCTGGCCCTAATATATGATACAATTCTCGTGATAACTATTATTTAACAACTTTATTAAATGATCTATCATAAACGTAACATAATTTACT